GTCCTCGGACCAATGGGTTGCAGGTTCAATTCCTGGTCAATCCCTGGCCCTGGTCAGGGTGAGTATTGGAGGCAACAAGTTGATGTGTCTCGCTCACATCAATGTTCCTCCTTCTTTCCTGCTCTCCCTCTCCTTTTCCCCCCTCTCTCCCTCTCTCCTTTTCCACTCTCCAAAGATCAATGGAAAAAAATACCCTCGGGTGAGGATTTTTTTAAAAATTCCAGAGGGAAGGGAAGTCCACCATTGTTATGGTTACTTCATAGCCATCAGGAGCTCGGGTTCTTTTATTTATTTTTTATTTTATTTTAGAGATAGGAAAGGGGAGAGAGAGACAGACACAATGATGTGAGAGAGAAACATTGACCAGTTGCCTCCCGTATATGCCCAGACCGGGGATAGAACCCACAACCTTTTGGTGTATGGAATGACACTCCAAACAACTGAGCCACCCAGCCAGGGCTGTTTCATCCACTCTTGGCACTAACTTATATCCTTAAAGTGTCTGATAGTTCTAGCTGGCTTCTGGAGCTTCAGCCATCATCGAAGGGGCATAGCTCCAACTTGAGTCATCTTCTTTGAAAGAGCTTTTCTAGAACCACCTCATTCAACAATTTCTGCTTCCATCTCACCTGTCATTCCTATTATCAAGAGAGGCTGGAAAGATATGTATAACTGGGAAGGTTGTTATTCACTATAATTAGGAATTCTGTTATTAAGAAAGAAGAGAGTAGCTATTGGGCAGGTGACTAACATCTGCTACAGCATGTTTTTCAAGAATATAATACTTTAAATATTAGGAAAACCAAATTTTAGTGACATCAAAAACTATTATTCAGAATATAAATTTAAAAGATCTCCTGCCCTGGCTGGTGTGGCTCATTTGGTTGAGCATCATCCATGCACCCAAAGGTTGCTGCTTTGATTCCCAGTCAGGCACATGGCTTGATCCCTGGTCAGGGTGCACAGGGGAGGCAGCGATTTGATGTTTCTCTCTCCCTCTCTCTAACTTTCACTCTAAAACCAATAAAAATACATTTTAAAATAACCCCAAACTACCATCTACCATGTATTTGGTTAATAAAAGCAATACGTCTCCATGATAGAGTTCTGTTTTGGCTTTCTCGGCAGGACTCGTTGGGAACAGCTGTTAGGTTTTGTATATTTTAAATAAATGAAAGAATGAGTTCTTCAAAACAACAGGGGAAAAAGATTTTTCAAATAAAATTCTGTTTCCTTTTGGAGATAGGAAGAATCAAAACAAGCACAAAGACAATTCAATGGACATTTATGGAACTAGCAGGAGCAGAATATACTATATTAGATGATTTGAGGTAGGAATGAATTTATGAAAACACTCATTGTTTAGTATTTAGATGGAACAAGGTAGACTGATGCAGTACATTAAATAGTTTAACATATATATTATAGCTAACTCCAGATACATAAGACTTATCCTGGAGAGAATGATGGGCACAGTGCGTTAAAACTTTAAGTAGTAGGTCGGGGCCCTCAGGTGCCAGCAGCTGGGTCGTGGTGCTCGCGGGCTGTGTCCGTCCCGTGCCTCGTCTCTCCCTGGAAGGGGAGGGGGCCTCGCTGCCGGTAGGAGCCGCTGCCGCAGTCCCGAGCTTGAAGTCGCTAAGACTTCTCCCAACCGTGTGTGCTGAGGAGACTCAGATGTTGGCCTCAGCTCCTAGGCTGAACTCCGCAGATTGGCCCATGAGAACTTCTGCACTGAGACAAAGGAGAGGACCTGAGAGAAAGCAACATCTATTATCCTGGGCTTGGCAACAAGGGAGAGGACAGGCAGTGGAAATCCTGCAATCTGAAAAGCAGACTGAAAGGTGACAAAGAAGCTGAAGATGGGTGGTGGAGAGAGGTATAACATTCCAGCCCCTCAATCTAGAAATGTTAGTAAGAACCAACAACTTAATAGACAGAAGACCAAGGATCAAAATTCCCAGATGAAGATGGTTCATAAGAAAAAAGAAAGAGGACATACTTATAACACATCAGCAGCTGCATGGCAGGCCATGCAAAATGGGGGGAAGAACAAAAACTTTCCAAATAATCAAAATTGGAACTCCAATTTATCAAGTCCCAGCTTGCTTTTTAAGTCTCAAACGAATCAGAACTATGCTGGAGCCAAATTTAGTGAGCCGCCATCACCAAGTGTGCTTCCTAAACCACCAAGCCACTGGGTTCCTGTTTCCTTTAATCCTTCTGATAAGGAAATAATGACATTTCAACTGAAAACCTTACTTAAGGTACAGGTATAAAATAAGATAAAGTACTAATGTTTAAACTGAGTAATATTTAAGGGTAGTTGACAGTTGTTTCACACCAAATTCAATACTCAGTAATTAATCTGTGTTAAACCCTGCTAATTATTGTAGAAAATACAGACTTCATCTTGTTTTGTGTTGCTGTGCACTGTGATGTAATGGTAATATCAGTGCCACTTAAAATAACTAAGTTACTGATAATTGTACTTATATCAAGTATTCTCAATTGAGTAACTTTTAAGCAAAACTACTCTAGATTTGGAGAATGTTAAAGGAATCAACTTTTTAAACTCTTGCTTGTTGGGGGTAAAGTAATGATTAAACCGAATGGTGGTGAATGTGGAAGGGGCAGTAGAAGCTATTTAGAATGAGACTATCCTCCATTGGCCCCGTTATATGCAGTGGATAGGTAACTGCAACAAATGTGCCATTTTTTATAGAAAGTTATTTGGTGGTCACAGAGTAACTTTTAAAATGACATTTTTGTATTATAGCACTGCATAGGCTATTCTGATAGTGACTGGCCTCAAATCATCCCTGCAAAGCTTGCTTAAAGTAGGGAGTTGTATAATGTGAAAGTACCTAGGAAAGAGCCATGTAAATACATGTAATATACTTGTAGCATATGTAAAGTTTTACCATTCATCTTAACGAAAATAAGAGTATTTTTAGTATGAATTCACTAATGTAAGACCATGGACTCTTTTTTACACTATGGCCTAATTTTAAAGGTCCAAAATAAAGTTTGCCCTTGTGCTAAAGTGCCAGTGTATGTATAATTGATCTGGTTGTAAACTATATTTCAAAGTAAATCAGTGTCACTGTTTTATATAACTGAAAAGGTTTTAAAGCTTCTAAAACACTTCCTATTTGTAAAAGATGTGAAATGCAGTATGGGACTATTTTAATTGTTATTCTTAAGCCCAAAGATAAGCTTGCTAAAGGTCTATCCAACCTTAAAAATTCATATTGGCTTTGAATATTTTTAACCTATGATACAAGTATATTTAATCATGCCAGTGTTTCGTCACCATTAAGAGCAACCAGGGGACCACTTATGCAAAACATGATTTATTGCATAATATCTTGATAACATGTTTGACCTACTTTAAAAATAAATGCTAAGGATGTTAACCAAATAGTAAATTAAAAATGTGTGAAGATCAATTAAAATTCTGTTTGTAGCCCAGCTGGTGTGGCTCAGTGGTTGAGCATTGACCCACAGACCAGGTGGTCACCAGTAAGATTCTGGGTGATCCCAGTGGTGAGTGGACAGGAGGTGGCCGATGTTTCCCTTTCTAAAATCAATAAAAACATTAAAATAAAAAAATAAAAAAAAACAAACAAAAAACTTTAAGTAGTAGATATTGTATTAGTTCATTTGGGCTGTTATATCAGAATACCACACATACTGGATGGCTTATAAACACAGAAATTTATTTCTCACAGTTCCAGAAGTTGGAAGTCCAAGATCAGGGTGCCAACGTGGTTAGTTAGGTTCTGGTGAAGGCCCTCTTCTGTGTTGCAGACTGAATAGGTAAAGGATCTCTAAGGGGTCTCTTTCATAAAGGTATTTGTAGGTAAAAACAAGCAGTAATCTGCATCATATGCAACTATAGGCTATGGTATACATAAATGTGTAAGATGGAAGTGTTTGTGCTCTGTGAGACCAGATTTTTAAAATGTTCTGGGCCTCATTCATAATCACTGTTCACATGGTGCTATCTAACAACATATTTATTCACTGTATACCTCACGTTTACAGTACACTTTCTTATCAAGTTGCCACTTAGGTAAGAAAGTCTAGATTTTGGCTTCGTATAGCTATGAATTTTAAATCTGGGGAAAACCTAGCCTTGTATTCCCCACCCCCCCTTTTCCTTTTATAATTACTTATCAGTAACCAAACCTTGTCTGTTGACTTTGCTCCAACTAATAGAAAACAGGAAACTACAGAGCCTCCCTGTGAGAAGAGGGCCAGGCTGTACCCTCTGTGACCTCACCCCTTCAGTTTGATTTGATTTGTCCTCGAGGAAACAATTGTAAACAGCTTCACATGTGGCTTTGGCAGTAGGCATAGGAAATGCAAATCAAACCAACTAATGCAGCAGGGTCTGTTAGTCTGGCCTTTTGAGCAAGCCATTTTTGAACCTATTATGATAGTACACTTTTGGGCATCCTTGGGGAAGAATAGTTTACACTCTGATCAAGTAATGGATCAGGAACCCTTCTCGGTCTTATATAGCAGTAGATATGCCGTTTGCACTCTGGTATTAAATAACTGCTTATTTGAACTTAATTGTGCAATGACTTAGCTGTTCCCACCCTTTATTACAGTGGTTCTCAACCTTCTGGCCCTTTAAATACAGTTCCTCATGTTGTGACCCAACCATAAAATTATTTTCGTTGCTACTTCATAACTGTAATGTTGCTACTGTTATGAATTGTAATGTAAATATCTGATATGCAGGATGGTCTTAGGCGACCCCTGTGAAAGGGTCGTTCGACTGCCAAAGGGGTTGCGACCCACAGGTTGAGAACCACTGCTTTATTCGTTCCCTTTGACGCTGTTGTGCTCAGTTTAGTTCTCCAGTAGGGATTATGAAAGAAAATGGAAATCTCACAAATTGTACTTTCTTTATAACTCAGTGCTGATACAGCTGTCATATTTTGGTTTTTGTATTCTCCATTCTGCACCCACTTCCCCTCTGCTTTCAGGTGAAGGTCTCCCACAGGTATATTACTTTGGACCGTGTGGGAAATACAATGCCATGGTGCTGGAGCTCCTCGGCCCCAGCTTGGAGGACTTGTTTGACCTCTGTGACCGAACTTTTACTTTGAAGACTGTGTTAATGATAGCCATCCAGTTGGTAAGTTGACATTGCTATTCTGCAAACGGATAGTCATCCCCACCCCCCAACACATCCTTTTGTCCCTTTTGGTGATTGACCAGATGTAGTGGCATCTAGTGAATGTGCACTCACAGGCTTGATAGTGCATTCCGGGGCAAAAAGGACTAACCCAGAAGAGTCAGGCTGCATATGCTCTTTGATCTGTTTTAAGAATTTGCACTTTGGAACCGTGCCCTTCCCTTATCTGAAGTGGAAGAATATAATTTAGGTTAGAAAGAAAGAGGGTGATTAGGTGAAGTTGTACAAATGCAAATAATTTCTCAGATGTTTTATTTATAGGTTTAAACACGACTGTAAGGTTTTGTCATGTCCTCCCCTCTCCCCTTACTGTCGCATCCAGGAAGAGCTTGGAGATGTAATCCACTGCCCTAACTATTAAGATTCCAAAATTGTGTGACCAAGAACCTGCCTTAGTTCTCTGGCCTTCACTTCTCACAGAATGACATAGCTAAGGAGGCAGCTCTCTCAGCTCCTACCAAATTACACACCATTACCAGTTTGAGCAGTTAAGATAGTTCCTTTGAGAAGTCTGTCAGCCCCTCAGAGGAGGATGCAAATACATCTTTATTGGACTAAGGTGGTAATGGTCTCCTCCACTTTACAGCAAAAACTTGGAAATGTTGGAAAATTGACTTTATATTTTGAACCCAAAATTCAAATGTCCATGCTTCCCTTTCTGTATTAAGTAAGTAGAAAAGCTTTGTAGCTAGAAATGAACTTAATGAAATTTGAAATACTTTTGTGATTATTATTTTAGGATAATTTTACTTTCATATATAAATCGTACCTTTACCTTTGCTACTAATTAGCTCTGTGATATCAGTCCAGTATTAACTTCTCTGGGCCTCACTTGCCTTAGTTCCACAACTGAGAGAGCTGAACTGGGGAGTCCTATTCAGCTGAGAGGAAGGTGTGGGCAGGATGTGAATGTGGCAGTGGCACTGTCTTCAAAGGCTGCCAACGTAGTTTGATGCACTGTCTCTGCATAGATACTTCTTGCCTCTCAAATGCTTACTTTCTGAAATAACATAAAAACACTTAATTCCATTTACCATTTGCAAATTGTAACATTATGAGGCTTAGCTGACCTGTACTACCCCACTCTTTTATCTGGATATTTGTTATGTGAATATTAGTATCAGAAAATATTTTCTGGTGGAAAAGAGTGAAGTGACTCTGGGTGGTGAAGAAGAAATTAGTTTTATTTTCCTTTCAGTAAGTAAAACCTTGGCTGATAAAGCAAATGTTTTCATGTATTTTTTCAGTAGACTTGTTTAGAGTATTTACATCATTGTTTTTTCTCTTTCAGCTTTCTCGAATGGAATATGTGCACTCAAAGAATCTCATTTATCGAGATGTCAAGCCAGAGAACTTCCTGATTGGCCGGCAAGGCAATAAGAAAGAGCATGTTATACACATTATAGACTTTGGACTGGCTAAGGAATACATAGACCCTGAAACCAAAAAACATATACCTTATAGGGAACACAAAAGTTTAACTGGAACTGCAAGATATATGTCTATCAACACGCATCTTGGCAAAGGTGTGTTTACCTTGAACAGGGCAGCTTTTTAAAACAACTTTTTATTCTAATAATACTTTGTCCCCATTGTGCATTACAACTTGTGATTCTTATTGCTTCACATGGTAAGTGGGTTTTTTTTTTTTTTTAAATATATTTTATTGATTTTTTACAGAGAGGAAGGGAGAGAGATAGAGAGTTAGAAATATCGATGAGAGAGAAACATTGATCAGCTGCCTTCTGCACATCTCCTACTGGGGATGTGCCCGCAACCGAGGTACATGCCCTTGACCGGAATCAAACCTGGGACCCTTCAGTCCGCAGGCTGACGCTCTATCCACTGAGCCAAACAGGTTTCGGCAGTAAGTGGATTTTTATACTTGAGAACTTAAGATGGTAAGTTAATGACTTTCCTGAGTATCCTGTTGGACAACTTAAGGATTTTAATTCTTTATACAGTTGGCCCTTGAAAAACATGGATTTGACTTCACAGATCCACTTATATGGGTTTTTTTCTATGAACACTGTAAATGTATTTTCTTTATAATTTTCTTAATTTCTTTGCTATAGCTTACTTCATTGTAAGAATATAACATATAATACATATAACATAAATATGTGTTAATTAACTATGTTACTGGTAAAACTTCTAGTCAACAGTAAGTTATTAGTAGTTAGGTTTTTGGGGAGTCAAAAGTTATATATAGATTTTTTAAAAAAATTCTTTATTAGTTAAGGTATTACAAATGTGTCCTCATCCCCCCTGTTAAACCCCCACCCTTCCCCCCACCCCCCCATATATAGATTTTTGACTGCAAGCAACCGGCATCCTTAACCCCGTATCCCAGGGTCAGCCTTGCTATGTTTCCAAATGTTTAATTTTTTAGCAGTGTGGGTAATAGACTTACTGTATTAAGGTGGTGGTATTGGAATAAGTTTAGTGATGAGTTTGGTATGGATGACCTTGTATATGACATCTGCTTTGGGGAAGAGTGCTTCACTAAAACATGAATTAGTCTTCTGTTCACCGTGCATAATTCCATGAATAATTCTTTAAGGAAGGGGTTATGTCTTATTCAGTGAAAATATATTTGCTTTTCCATGAATCTTACATTTTATACATGATAGTTTGCACAAATATTTCATAATGCTCTAATCAAGGCAAAAGGCCTTATTTGTGAGAAGAAATGGTCCAGAGGAGAATTTTTGTGAGAGAAGCCTAAAGAAGAGTGGAAGCCAACTCAGCAGGGTCCTGGGCCTCCCCAGCTTCTCCAGAAAAGCTTTCCTTTTTATATGTTTTATATGTTGTTCTTTCATGGAAGATTCTGTTTGGAGACAAGTTCCACAGTGATTGAAAAAAAAAATGTTTGGAAATCACCACCCTAGAGAGTAGACATATAAATGGAATATTATCAAGTTTCATAATCATAGACATAGCTAATTATATCAGGTGTTTAAATATTAATGAACTGTGGTACACTAATAAGAATTTTTTTCACTAATATGTATTTTACAGACTAAGATAAATAGCTACAAAGTTGCCTTATAAACTGTACAGGTATTCAGGTAATGAATTAGTATTAGCGAAAATTAAAATGACATTACAAAGTAGTGTGATACAACTTTAGTTGAAATCATGAATGCTGTCAGAATTTTTTCAGTAACCACATGGAAATCCTCATTTAACTAAATGTAATACTTTAAAATTAGACTAGAATCTCTGCTACTTATTATCAGTGTCACTTTGGATAATTTTCTTAATCTCCCTGAAACCTTTCTGTAAAATAAGACTAATATTTCACAAGGATGCTTTGAAGATTGAATGGGTGATATATGTAACACAGGTCTCTTGCATAGTGCTCAATATTTCCTTCTTTCTTTTTACAAGGAGACAGACTGTGTTGTAAATAGTAAAGTCATAATTGCTTGGTTTTACTGAGACTGGAAATTATTGTTCCAGTGTGTGCTTCCTGGGCTCAGCAATTTGTGTTCTGCCTTTATTATTCTTGTCAGGAAAGGCAAGTACAGACAAGGGGAGGAGTGGGTATGTGTTATATTTGTATAAGGTTAAGAAAAATGGATACAAATCTTGGCTTTTTCATTTAAAACTATGTGATTTTGGTCCAGTAACCTTCCTCCCTTCAGCCTCAGTTATCTTAATCTATGAAATGGGTATGATAAACTTTATATTATAGGTTTGTGTGAGAAAATGCATATAAAGTGTTTAACCTAGTGTCTGATAATAGTAAAGACTCTGTAATGGTAATTACCACTTATTTATTCAACAAAATGTTTTAAGCATCCACTTTTGTCAGACTAGGTTTCTTCATTCTTGGTGTAGCCATTTCTATTGGAACTTAGAGTTTATCTCCAAACTTTGACTTCCTAGTTCCACAGTTTTTCAGGTCCAGTTCAACCTGTCACCATATTTTATCCTTACAGTACCGCAGAGAATACATATAGAAGGTTGCCAAATGCCCTTTAAACTCTGACCAGGGTCTCAAGGAACTTTGTCCTATTAGTATTAGCAAAGAGTAAAAATGACATTATAAAGTAGTGTGATATAACTTGAGTTGAAATCATGAATGATAAAGCCCTAAACTTGATTCTGATAAATAAACACATAAATTTTTAAATGTGTAGCATCCTTTATGTTGTAATGAAGAAAAAGGGAAGTGTATTTCCAAATGACTTGGAGAGAATTGCCAATAATTTTGTGAGGAAAGATGCTTCCTAAACCTGATCTTGCCACATGAGATTAGCCACGTTCCCCACTGAGCGAGCCCTGGTTAAGGCAGCCCATTTAGTAGTCTTTAATCATTGAAGTTAGGATGAGAACACTGGGTAATCCAGCCCCTTTCCTACAACAGAATGTATTTGACCTAAAATCAAGGATGTGATGCTTGTAAACTAAGCTCATCTTTCTGATTGGTTGAAAGCAAGCCTTTATTGTGTGGAAACATTTTATGTCCTACTGGTCTCACTGGCATTGAAATCTTTCTTCTTTAAAATGCAAATATCTTGCATGAATAAATAAGGGCGTGTGAGAATACTGACTTGAATATAGAATGTTCAAAGAAATAGGGAAATAAAGCATGGCTCTGGTTTTCACTTTTTTTTTCTTGAAAGGTCCTAATGGCTTAAATTATCATAGGTTATTTTAGAGCTGGAAAATGACTTTTCAGATTACCTCCGCGGTCAACAAACTGCGGCTCACGAGCCACACGCAGCTCTTTGGCCCCTTGAGTGTGGCTCTTCCACAAAATACCACGTGCGGGCAAGCACATACTGTGCGATTGAAACTTTGTGGCCCATGCACAGAAGTCAGTATTTTGTGGAAGAGCCACACTCAGGGGCCAAAGAGCCGCATGTGGCTCGCGAGCCCACAGTTTGCCGACCACTGACTAAGTCAACCACTTTATTTTCAAATGAGGAAATTTAGGCCCAAAGTAGATGACTTGATCATGCTGAATTTCACATGGATTAAATAAATGGAAAGGATGGGTCAAGAGCTAGATGACTTGACTCAGAACTATTGTTTGAGGAGAACCAAGATGGCGGCATAGGTTAACGCCGGAGTTTGCCGCCTTGAACAACTACTTCAAAAGTGAAACTAAAAAACGGAACGGACATCACCCAGAACCACAGGAACGCTGGCTGAGTGGAAGTCCTACAACTAGGAGGAAAGAGAAACGCATAGGGACACTCAGAGGAGGCGCAGTGCTGAAGTCAAATTCTGAGGTGCGGAGTGCGCGGAGCGGGCTGGCGGCGGAGGGCGCGGTTGGTGTTTTCAATCGGGAGGGAGTCGCAGACTCTGAGCTCCAGATCCGGGCGAGTCTTTAGGGACCCAGACTCAAACGGGAGAAGCGGGACTGTCTGGCTTCGGTCAGAGCGAGTGCAGCTTTCTCTCCGAGCTTTGCAGCGGGTGCTGGGACTCAGAGAGGCAGAGCCCCTGGGGACAGGACTGAGAGCCGCCATAACTGCTCTCTCCGGCCCACCCTGTTGATCCTGTGCGACCCGCCCCGCCCAAGCCCTGCACAGAGGCATTTGCCGGATAGCCTCAGGCAAAGGCTAGATTAGCACCTCCCTAGAGGACAGAAGTTCTCTCACTGCAGACACAGCTGATTCTCATAGCCACTTGGCCTGGAGGTCAAACCCTCCCTGGTATTAGCTACAACAATCAAGGCTTAACTACAAGACTGCGCACAAAGACCACTAGGGGGTGCACCAAGGAAGCATAACAAAATGCGGAGACAAAGAAACAGGACAAAATTGTCAATGGAAGATATAGAGTTCAGAACCACACTTTTAAGGTCTCTCAAGAACTGTTTAGAAGCCGCCGATAAACTTAATGAGATCTACAAGAAAACTAATGAGACCCTCGATGTTATATTGGGGAACCAACTAGAAATTAAGCATACACAGACTGAAATAACGAATATTATACAGACTCCCGACAGCAGACCAGAGGAGCGCAAGAATCAAGTCAATGATTTGAAATGCGAGGAAGCAAAAAACACCCAACCGGAAAAGCAAAATGAAAAAAGAATCCAAAAATGCGAGGATAGTGTAAGGAGCCTCTGGGACAGCTTCAAGCGTACCAACATCAGATTTATAGGGGTGCCAGAAGATGAGAGAGACCAAGATATTGAAAACCTATTTGAAGAAATAATGGCAGAAAACTTCCCCCACCTGGTGAAAGAAATGGACTTACAGGTCCAAGAAGCGCGGAGAACCCCAAACAAAAGGAATCCAAAGAGGACCACACCAAGACACATCATAATTAAAATGCCAAGAGCAAAAGATAAAGAGAGAATCTTAAAAACAGCAAGAGAAAGAAACTCAGTTACCTACAAGGGAATACCCATACGACTGTCAGCTGATTTCTCAACAGAAACTTTGCAGGCCAGAAGGGAATGGCAAGAAATATTCAAAGTGATGAATACCAAGAACCTACAATGAAGATTACTTTATCCAGCAAAGCTATCATTCAGAATTGAAGGTCAGATAAAGAGCTTCACAGATAAGGAAAAGCTAAAGGAGTTCATCACCACCAAACCAGGATTATATGAAATGCTGAAAGGTATCCTTTAAGAAGAGGAAGAGGAAGAAAAAGGTAAAGATACAAATTATGAACAACAAATATGCATCTATCAACAAGTGAATCTAAGAATCAAGTGAATAAATAATCTGATGAACAGAATGAACTGGTGATTATAATAGAATCAGGGACATAGAAAGGGAATGGACTGACTATTCTTGGCGGGGAAATGGGTGTGGGAGATGCGGGAAGAGACTGGACAAAAATCGTGCACCTATGGATGAGGACAGTGGGTGGGGAGTGAGGGCGGAGGGTGGGGCGGAACTGGGAGGAGGGGCGTTATGGGGGGGGGGGAAAGAGGAACAAATGTAATAATCTGAAAAATAAAGATTTAATTAAAAAAAAAAAAAACTTGGGAAAAGAGAACTATTGTTTTTCCTATTATCCCATATTCCACAGCTATTTTTCATGGTTCTCAGTTTTTGAAAATTACTTATTCCAGTGGGCTTAATGTTTGTTTATTTTTTTATCTCATTTTTATAATGAATGGTCTTTGCTGTGAAAAAGTCTTTTTCTGTAGGGCTGATCAATATTGAAAATGTGGAGAGTTTCGCCCTCTTGTGCTCAACTAACTAAAGTGCAGCCATTTATCCAGTGAATTTTTTTATTACCAAGGGGCCTCTTGTTACAGGAAGTGAATATAAAAATGGAGAGCTGATGAGTAGGTGTGATGTAGTGTGAGAAACTGCAGGGTGTGATTTCTCTATCTGCCCTGATTTCTGGGAGGCCTCGATTGAACCTGCCTCTTCTTTTTTTAATTTGTTTTATCTTTAAGTTCTGTTAACAAACTGCTTTTGCGTAATGGCTTTTTGTTTTCAATTGCGAATAAAATTTATTGCAAACTTCAGGCAAGCCGAGTAGACAAAAGCTCCTGGTTTATTTTATTCTTTTTAAGATCATTTCAATTGATGTACTCAATCTTATGTTATTTTTATATCTTATCAGGGTGCCTTTAGTGACCACCTTTCCAAAAACCTCCTTCCCATTAGTGACCCCCTTTCCTAAAGCCTCCTTCAAACAGTAAAAATTAGAAAGTTTCCTTTTCTTTGTTTTTCTCTTTTAAGGAGTACTATTCACTCTTTTTCATGCAAATTTCCCATGATTGGTGGCAGCATTTAAACAGGTTGTGCTGTGGTATTTTGAGTTAGTTGAATAGCTTTCCCAGCCTCCTTGACTCCTGTGTTTTACTTTCTGCACAGTGAAAGCACAGTCAAATTTAAGATAGCCCCTTAGTCTTGCTTCTGTAATTTTTTTTATAAAGCCCTAAACTTGATTCTGAAAAATAAACACATAAAATGTCTGAGATGAACCATAATTGGCAAATTAGAAATGGAGGTATATACTACTTAAATTCAGTCTGACAACCAAAGGTGGTATAGGATGTTTTCTGAGATGAAGTTATAATTTTTTATTAATTATTCTACAGTTCTTTACCATTTTAATCATTACAGTTAAAAGAAAGAAAAAAACCAGCAATTTGTCTTATATATATATATATGCTCCCAGAATGCAGGAATCCTATAAGGTGCCATACAGGGCACCTTATTAATCAGTTTTAAATTTTTCTTAAGGTAGTTATAGAACATAGTACAAATAGAATGGAGCTGAGAGATTATACATTGATGTTCTATTGTATGAAGTTAAAATTTGATATTAATTTTTATGACAAAAAGCACTAGCCATGCATGCTAGGCAGTCTGCAGCTTGTGTCTTCACAGGCCTACCCAAAATGGATGGTTTCAACAGCTTTAGCTGCTAGTCTGCTGCTCACCTCTGATGGTAACAAAGGATAATTATAGCCCATACACTGAAAATAAGATATCTTACTTTCAGGAAGCTGACAGCATTGAATGAGGGGTGGTTACTCACTGTTTAGTAATTTGGACTTGATTTTAGTTTAGGATTTGCTCTTTTCTCTTAATACGTCTAGGTAGAGGAGCACACATTGTTTTTCTGTCTTGATCTAAAATACTATCCCTGATTTAGATAATTAATAAGCGAGACTTTCCAGAGCAGAAGAGTTACTGAACGGACTGCTTGGTTTTGAGGGCCTTTCTACTTTATTAACTATAAATGTAATGTGTGATCTGTCTTCCCTTTTAGAGCAAAGCCGGAGGGACGATTTGGAAGCTCTGGGCCATATGTTCATGTATTTCCTTCGAGGCAGCCTGCCCTGGCAAGGACTCAAGGTATCCTTGAAAGTGCTCAGTGGAGGACTTTGTTTCAGTACTCAGTTGGTAATGAAGGGGTTGCTGATTTGATGTCTGCAAGAAGCACAAAGAGGATGATTGGCTAGAGAGATGAGAAGCAAGGACTGGTTACATTAGTCTATGTTGTAAATACTCACCTGGGCTTTGGAAGCTCTGTTTTGCTCCCATTTGTCTTCTTCCCCATCTGAATCCTTCTTCCTTGTTTTTGGATTTTCCATAATCTCTTCCCTTGTTCCCTCCCAGCCTTGGCAGTGCTGCTTTCCTTTCTGTCAGTATGCCTCCTCCACTACCATTATGTAGCAAGATGAGTGTTCCCAATGTGTTGGGGAATTTCTGGAACAAATTGGTGACAGCAGCTGCTACACATTTTACCAGCAAGGCCAGCAGGGCTGGGTGTGTCCCTAAGGGGAACTGGAAATATTTGTTCATCCTATATAAGTTGAGTGCTCACCTAAACAAAAACAAAAATCCAGGTTTAATGTTGCTGTTCAAGTGTTTTATTGAATAAATGCCTATGCAGACAATAGTCATTCCTTGTGAACCATGTAGTTTAAATAGCCTTCTTTTGGTAGGTGTCAATACAGTACATTTCTATTAGAGTTAATTATCTATAATAATAAAAGCATAATATGCTAATTAAACGGGATGTCCTTCCGAACGACCTTCCAGATGAAGCAGGGGCTGCGAGGGAAGCCTGGGTCCCGGGTGCCAGAGGGAAGCTGGTGCCAGCAGCTAGGAGAAGGAAGGCCTACTCTTGCATGAATTTCATGCATCGGGCCTCTAGTTAATTATAAATATAACCATTATAATGACTGTGCTTTTGGCTGTAGACAAGACAATGCTAAGCTTCTCTAACCCATGCTAAATCCCATTAGTTAGCTAAATGTGAGATATATTTTTGAGCTGTAAATTATATCAACATTGGCTCAGTGGATAGAGCATTGGCCTGCGGACTAAAGGGTCCCAGGTTCGATTCCTGTCAAGGACACATGCCTGGGTTGCAGGCTCGATCACCAGTAGGGGGCATGCAGGAGGCTGCTGATTGATGATTCTCTTTCATCATTGATACTTCTCTCTCTACCTTTCCCTGCCTCTGAAATCATTAAAAAATATATTTTAAAAAATTATATCAATGTGTTAGTATGGAAAGAAACGTAATCAGCAGCTTTGGATACTTCACCACCCCAAGAGGGCAGAATGGTTGGTTTTGCTGTGTCCTAGAACATGGTCCTGAAAAGTAAGGTTTCTACTTCCCTTTGGGAAGATATTTCTTTTCCCTTAACTTCCTCTAACATCTCCTCCATGGTCTTCCAGTCATATATATCTTCATTAATATTGACAGTTGTCAAATAGTTTCACATCCTATTTGCTCATTATGTAGCCAAACAATGCATTCATATGCTAGTATGTATTTTATTAATTGCTTCTTGAAACTTTCTCACAGCCCATGAATCATTTTAGTGATAGTTATAGATCTAAAATTTTTCCAATTTACTTTAGAACATTATTGCTTAAAGCTGGGTACAGCAGGCTAGGTAGAGCCTCAAGAGACTGCCTTGAGACCACATTATCAGTCCAAGCTCCAGGAGCCTTCTGTCTATAGTCCTGAGCAAACCAGACTTGTCTGCTTTGTGCCACTGACATATATCAAACCTATCTGTTAGCCATGCTTATATCATAGATACATTTTTTCCCTCTGGAACCTCACTGTAGAAACACATTGTTTTCTATTTCTTATTTTTTTGTGTGTGTTTTTTTTTTTTCAGTAAGTATGATATAGAGCCATTTATCTATCTGTCCCCACTTGGATTTAGGAGTATTTTTAATCTTATCATAGAGCTGATCTAAGGAGGGGAATACTGAATCATTTTTTTTTAATTGATTCCAGCCCTAACCGGTTTGGCTCAGTGGATAGAGCGTCAGCCTGCGGACTCAAGGGTCCCAGGTTCGATTCCAGTCAAGGGCATGTACCTTGGTTGCGGGCACAACCCCAGTAGGGAGTGTGCAGGAGGCAGCTGATTGATGTTTCTAACTCTCTATCCCTCTCCCTTCCTCTCTGTAGAAAATATCAATAAAATATATTTAAAAAATAAATAAATAAAATTGATTCCAGAGAGAGGAAGAGGGAGAGAGAGAAACATCTACTGGTTGTTTCCTGCACATGGATTGAACCCACAATCTGGTCATGTGCTCTGACCAGGAACCGAATCCATCACCTTTTGGTGTATGGGATGACACTCCAACCAGCTGAGCCATGCCAGCCATGGCAAGGCTGAATCACTTTTGATCCCCAGTGGCCCTGGGAGATTACTAAGCTTCTGCAGTTCTGAAAATATTGCTACATGGTATTTTTATCTTCTTATTCTGGCCACTTGTCTCATTGATGGTGTTTATCTGAGACTACTAAGTATATTTTCAAGTAAATGTTCTAGAACACAGCAGATGTTATATACATATTTAAATACATCATCTCTACTACATTTCTTATTAATGTTAGAAAAATAAATTAAGAAAAATACCTAATAAATCCTGCCAATTTGAGTGAAACAACCATTCTGTTCCCAAACATACTAGACTTCTTTCCAAATAACTTTCTTTACTCTCTGCAGGCTGATACATTAAAAGAGAGATATCAAAAAATTGGTGACACCAAAAGGAATACTCCCATTGAAGCACTCTGTGAAAACTTTCCAGGTGAGATGCTAAAAGGACACTCCAGCGAATGTGAATAAGGCTTTCAAGTAGGTGAAGATTATGACTTGGGATCTCTAGATAAAGGTGCTCCCCAGAAAAAAACTTAGTTTCTTTTATTGTTATTTAGCTCAAGATAGGTTATGTCACTTTCATTTGGTCCATAAAGAAAACACCGTGTCAAATAGTCTGTACAATATTCCTTGCTTGGCTCAGAGCTTCTGCCCATGCAAAGCATTCGGTTAATGAGCATGGCCTTTCACCTCTTTCTTAACAGAGGAGATGGCTACCTACCTGCGATATGTCAGGCGATTAGACTTCTTTGAAAAACCTGACTATGAGTATTTACGGACCCTCTTCACAGACCTCTTTGAAAGGAAAGGTTACACCTTTGACTACGCCTACGATTGGGTCGGGAGGCCTATTGTGAGTATCCTCTTTATCTACCTCCTCACCTCAGACCAGCACTACCTCATCCCTTTCCTTGCCAGACTTTTTGCTTAAATCTGTAGGGGGAAACATTCCTTTGACTGTAAACTTTACATTTACCAACATTTTCAGGATGATGCCATAGATTGCTCTTACTAGAGTTAGGAAGTAGGAGTTACTCCCTTATATGTTTTTAAGGCTATGACCAGTATGTCATAAGAGACCAGAAGTTAAGCCAGTTTTTAAAAAAATATATATTGTTATTGATTTCAGAGAGGAAGGGAGAGAGAATGATGAGAGAGAATCATTGATCAGCTGCCTCTTGCATGCCCCCTACTGGGGTTCAAGCCCACAACCCGGCATGTGCCCTTGACCGGAATCAAGCCCAGGTCCCTTCAGTCTGCAGGCTGATGCTCTATCCACTGAGCCAAACTGGCCGGGACATTAAGCCAGTTTTTAAGAAGAATTTTCATTTGAATGATACAGAAGCTGGTGCTACATAAGATGTTAAGGTGCTTGACTTCTAGGGTTGTAACCTAGCACCATAGGACACTTTTGAATGTGCTCTTCTGGCCAGGGGTCACAGGGCACGAGAGCATGCTAACAGACATCACCGCAGGATGTTTTTTTATTTTCAAAGGTAAGCTACTACTCTCCAATGAAGTATTGAGGACCAAGCTGCATCCCTTTTGCAGATAAGCAAACAGAGAAGACAAGAAGACCTTGAAATTGCCCTTGGTGGCTGAAAATAATAATTACTACTATTCTAGTAGAATTTGAATGATGCAGTCCTTTGCAGAGGCATTAAGTTGGACCTGTTTTCTCCATTTGACTTTGTGTTATATTTTTCCAGCCTACTCCAGTAGGGTCAGTTCATGTAGATTCTGGTGCATCTGCAATAACTCGAGAAAGCCACACACACAGGGATCGGCCATCACAACAGCCTCTACGAAATCAGGTGTGTTGGACCTTCATTGTTTCAGACATTCCCTTTATTTGTGGCTTATGTTAAGACCCAAATTCTTCAGCTTCTCTATTTAAGTGTACGTATTGAAATTAAAGACAAAGACCTTGCCAGTTTTCACTGGTATGGTGTGGCATTCTAGCATCCCTCAGAATTTGTGTAATGGCACTGAGATGCAGCCAGGTGCCTTACAGCAAGCATCCACTCTAGAGAATCTGGGCCTGTCGAATCTGTTGGCTGAAAGGACCTACTGGACATACAGGATATACAGGCTAGCCCACTTGGGGTCTCATCGACACTCCAGTGTGTAGCTCTTGCCAATGCTGGTTTTTCCTTGCTGATTAGGAAGGATGGGTAATTTGGACTTCCAGCTGCAACCTGGGAATGAACTGGCACCTCCACTCCACTCCTGTCCTTGTACTCAGGCTAACTCTAGAATTATGAATGAAGACTCAGCTTTGCTTTAGGCCACTCCTCAGAAGGCCATGTCATCTCTTTTTCAATGCTCATGGTTTGGGAAACTAGTGGTCTGGATGAGAGCCTTCTCTTAGCCTTAAAGACAGAGGAGGCAAGCACATACACAAAAACAAATTTGACAACATTTAAAAAAAGGAGAAACTGATTGGGAAGTGAGTATAATGAATATCTTTATATCATAGTATATTGCTAAAAGAAAAATGAGGACTCCAGTAGGCAAATAAACAAAGAATAATAAGTAAACATATACACGTGTGCATGCACACCCACACCCACATAATCATTAGCACCTATCAAATTAGCTTGTTTCCCCTCCTAACCTCACTTTTTTATATTCACAAATGCTTTTACAATAAAATAACAACCACACTTATCATCTCATAAATGCAACTGTGCAAGAACATAGGTTAAAAATAGCATATAGAAATAGTATATATGTACTCGTTACAGTGAAGTACATACAAAATATGGATAGACTCACCAATAAGTACATACTTGCTGGGGTCCAGCCCCAGCAGGTCCAGGGGTCCCCAAAGGTGTGGACGGAGTCGGCGAAGAAGGAATGACACAGAAACAGCATTCAGTTGATCAGCAGCCTAGCCAGGATCTCTAGCCAAGTTCTGGTCAGGATCTCCAGCGAAGTTCTGGTTAGGATCTCCAGCCAGGTTCTGTGTCCATGTTCTTTTGCTAAGTTCTCCAGCCAGGTTCTCCAGCCAGGTTCTGTAGCCATGTTCCCTCGCTAGGTTCTCCAGCCAGGTTCTGTCCAGGTTCTCCAGCCAGGTTCAGTCACCAGATTCTAGCCAGGTTCTCTTGCCATTCTAGCCAGGTTCTGTAGCCATTCTAGCCAGGTTCTGTAGCCAGGTTCTGTCTCTAGGTTCTTCAGCCAGGTTTTCTCGCTAGGTTCTGTCTCTAGGTTCTGTGGCCAGTTTCTGTCCAGGATCTTTTGCCATGTTCTCTCCAGCGAAGTTCTTCTGTGTGTAGGTTCTGTGTCTAGGTTCTGTGTCTAGGTTGTGTCCTGTTGTCTTGTTACATCTGTATTTATACCAGTTGATTCCAATCCTATCAATCTCTATTCCAAAGGTTAGGGCGTTTCTTATCTCCATTCCAGGGAGTAAAGATTATGTAGCTTAAGCATGATTGTTCGTAGTTAAAGTGATTAATTACCCGCCTGGCACTTAGTTAAGGGGTTTTATTCCCTCCCTAACTTCAGGGGAAAATCCCTACCTGGGGAAACAACCTTTCTCAGAGAGGTGACCTTGGTTAAAACACATAGTGCCAAGAAGGTGAGCAAACATATTAAGAACAGTATGCCATATATGCCAGGTCCCTTGAAACAGCAAGGATGGACCGGCTCCCGGCACATACTCTTGGCAAATGTGTGGCTTGGTGGTTAAGGAAAGTATAAGGGGAGGAAATTATGTATTAGATCGTAGGTAAGAAAAAAAGATGGGGTTTAGCAAACTCTGTACCCTAATTGGGTACATAGTTACATGCTTTGATCAAGGTAGTTGGCTAAGAATTTGTATTTGACTGAATTCTGTTAACAACACAGCACTATTGACCTCTGCGGTTAGCCCTCTCTCTCCTGCCCCCTTTCTTAAAAAAAACATAGTTAAGTGCACAGTTAAACTGACACTCTCTTCACTTTGCAAATTGTTACAAATACTCTAGAAAGTAATTTGATAAACTTACTGTCCTCTGTAATAGAATAATCTTTACTCTTGGAATCAATCACAATTAAACAACCCAAAATATAGATTAAGTTTTGTGTATAAAACTGTCGCAATGTCATTTGAAGTAAAATTTTAGAAATGACCCACCTATCCAATTATAAGGGAATAATTGTGGATCCATCTCAAATCCTTTATCAAATACCCTGGGTTATAATAAAGTGACTTGTAAATATTATATAGTCACTTAAAAGAATATTTAGGAAAACTTGTAGCAATCTGAAAATGTTTATGGTTTGTATAAGGGGAAATCAGAATACTACATTAGAAGTGCCTCAAAATTTCCCCTCAGGGAAAGGGAAGATGAGAGAATCAGTGGGAAGAGATAATGCCAGAGTATTAACAGAATTAGTTTTGGAAGAGGTAGTGTGGATATTTTTCTAAACTATTCTATAATGAAGTTATATTACCGTATAATGAAAATGCATTCATTGAAATGTACCTTTAAAAAAGGAAAATGCATTTAAATAGAAAAGATATGGAAAAATAAATAAGTAGTCAGTGAAGTCTAATCAACATATCTGCCTACTCATGTTTTTTTGAATATTTGAAAACTAAAACATGTGGGTCCCTTTGGTTTTTCTGTTCTTTTCTTCAGTGAATTCATAGTGCTGCTGTTTTGAATGGATTTTAAACATATGGGAACAAGAGATGGTTGAAAACTTAAATTGCCAGAGTAGAAAATGAGCTCATACCTAGAATCTGAGAAAGGACAGTGAATTTCAATGTACTTTTAACTGAAATGTCATTAAACTAGTGTATATAATTAGGAAATCTCATCTGAAAGGTGATAAGCTTGGTTTTGAAGAGTTTAATCTGAAGATCTCTGATTTTCCCCCCTTGTAGGATTTGTAGAATCCCATGGCTGCTGAAGGATTGAATTTCCCCTTATTAATGCAAATTTTACACTTGCTTCCCAGCAGGATTCTGAATCCTTGCTGGGTAGAATTCTTTCTGCCCTGCGCACTGTGGGCAAATGGATTTCTAGTGTCTGTTAAGCCTTTACACTGTGTTTAGTTTGTGGTCTCATGTCTTATATTCCATCACTGGGGTTGTTTTCTTAGGCTTTTTTAAAAAAATTACAGCTAAATAAGTCCCTTTTATGAGTTTAGGGAATGAAAGCAGTATGATTTTTTATACTAATTCGCTTCAAGTTTTGAAATCAGCAAAAGAAGAAAATAAAATCTCTCCTTGAGATCGAAAGATATTAACTTTACCTTAAAGGTGACAATGAATATGTTTTTCAGCAATTTTGACTCAGTAAATCTGAGGACCTACTATGTGAAAGTATGTCCTGGGGATACCAGGGTAAGAAGGGTCCTTGTCCTCAAAGAACTGACAAGCAGATAAGCCAAGGAGCCAGATAACTATAACAGAAGGCAGAACAGATAAGGTTCCGCTGAAACCGGTTTGGCTCAGTGGATAGAGCGTCGGCCTGCGGACTGCAAGGTCCCAGGTTCGATTCCGGTCAAGGGCATGTACCTGGGTTTCGGGTATATCCCTGGTGGGAGATGTGCAGGAGGCAGCTGATCGATGTTTCTCTCTCATCGATGTTTCTATCTCTCTATCTCTCTCCCTTCCTCTCAGTAAAAAGTCAATGAAATATATTTAAAACAAACAAACAAACAAAAAAAAAACAGATAAGGTTCCCAAGTCACAAATTAGCATCATCAGGATTTGGGAAAAGGAGACATTTTATCCAGTCTGAGCATGACAAAGAGTTTCATGAAAGAAGCTGTAGTTGATATGCTCTTAGGAGAATTAAGTGGAAATGAAAGAGTTATTTCAAGCAAAGAGGGAAATATGAGGAACAGCAAATTATCTAGTTCCATTCTGCTATAATATATGGTGTGATTAAGGAGACAGGCTAGGAAAGTAGGTTGGAGCCATTTAATGAAGCTCCTGGAATGCTGGGCTGTGGTAAGGATTAAGTACTAACGGTTTTGGAGCAGAGGAGTGATATGATCAAAACTTTGCTTTAGAAATCTTTTGGCGCAGAAGGTAGTAATAGCCTGGCAGCCAGCATGCAGAACAATCAGATGACAATGAGCTCCCTTGAGAGGTAAAGGGGCCGTTGCTGGCCTGTAGTAGAAAAGTGATACAGGGATATAACCTACCAGAATTAGCAGCCCACATGTATGTCAGGGTTGAGGGGAGAAGGATGAGTCAGAGCTGTTTCTGAGGTTTCAAGCCTGGATAATTAGGAGGGTGGTGATACTATGTCTAGAAATGGGAAAGTTGGGGGAGAAACTTACTTGGGGTTGAATTTAGGCATCTTTTTTTAAAAAAAAATATTGAATTCAGAGAGGAAGGGAGAGGGAGATGGAAACATCAATGATGAGCGAGAATCATTGATTGGCTGCCTCTTGCACAACCCCTACTGGGGATCGAGCCCACAACCTGGGCATGTGCCCTCGTCTGGACTCAAACCTGGGACCCTTCAGTCTGCAGGTCGATGCTCTATCTACTAAGCCAAACCAGCGGGGGTGAATTTAGGCCTCTTAAGTTTGAAATACTAGCAGTGCATTCCAACTGAAGATGGCTAATAGGCAGAGGATGGCTCTTGAAAGAAAACCAGAGAGCTATTTGGGAATCAAGGCATGGACGTGACATTGATGATAATGCCTAAAGAGCCTCATTTTTCTGGGTAAATCTGCCCGTCAATTGTGTGGTAGAGGAGTGAGCATGGGGGTTAACAGGCTCTGCTTGGTCCCATACTTAGAGTAGGAGGAGAAAGTGGAAGAGCTCAGAACTTGATTGTAGCTTATCCCAAGACTGTGGCCATTA